CTTCTTACTGACATCTGGCTTGATGTCTCTGCAAAGTCCAGGCCCTGAGCTGGGACAGTGAACAGAGTCACCCCATTGTCATGAATAAAGATGGGACCAGCTGCCACCATCAAGCAATGAGCTGTGTACCAAGACCTTGACTGTATGACGTCATTCGCCCCCAGCACTCATGTAGCCCCTTGTATTACGTGGTGAGGACCTGCCTGTGCTGGGTTGGTCCTGCTGGACATTTGAGATCCATGGCTAAGTCCAACACAAGCCAACTTGTGAAACACCAGGCTACAGAACAGCATATATTTCATTGCAACTGTGCATCCTGGGTCGGCCTGGGAGGGGAGTCATTGTGACCAGGATGGGCTGGGCAGGTTGGGGTGGGGCTCATCACATTGCATCATTGGTTAACAAGTGTCCCTGACTTGGACAGAGCTGGGGCTTCCAGCAAACCTTCTACTAATGTCTTGGTAGAAGGCGGTCTTGGTTACTTTTCTCTCATTGCTGGGACAAAATATCCTATGCCCAAAATTTAGGAAGGAAAGGTTTATTTAGCTCACAGTTTATGGAGGTTTCAGTCCACACTTGGCAGGTTACAGCACAGAGTGGCACATGGCAGAGGGCTACAACTCATGGCAGCAGAACACAGCCAACGCATCAAGCACAAAAGGGAGGAATGGTGGCAAGCAGCCTCTTCCTCTCCCTTACATATGCAAACTATCCACCCCAGGGCGGGTGTAGCTCTCACACCCATAATCAATCAAACTCCAAAAGCCTGCCCCATGACTGCATGAGGCTTTGGGGGGACACCCAGACACAAACCATAACAAAGGCCAAGGAATGGAATGAAAAAAGGTCAGAAGGAGGAAGAGAACCATCTTGGCTTTCTTTCTGGATTCTTCAGGTTCCCAGGTCTCCCCATCCAGAATACTTGCTTTTATACCCAGAGTTGCCTGAGACCCTCATAGCAGCTCGTGAGCAGGCATTTCCTGCCCTCTTCTATAACCGGGCAGCTGCATCCCATGGAGGTAAAGGGACATGTCTGGTCACACATTGGGGAAATGACAGCGGAAATTTGGAACCAATCTCTCTTCTGGTTTCCTCACTGGGCCCCCTAGCCTCTGTTCCATAGGGAGTAGACAGCCATGGAGTAGGAGCAGGGAGAAAAGAGGAGACACTACTTCCCACGCCTTTTCTCTGTTGGTTGCTTCCAGGTGGCCAGAGGAGGGGTGGATGTGATTATCAACTGCACGGGGGTGTGGGCTGGGGCACTGCAGCCAGACCCACTGCTGCAGCCGGGCCGGGGGCAGATCATTAAGGTGAGTGTGGGCTGAGCTCTCCAGCTTCCGTCAATAGGAAGATTGTTGTGCGTGCTGGTTTCTCTCCAGTGGACCATTTGGGGATATGCACTAGAGCAACCCCGTACTTTGGGGGATTGACACATTAAGAAGCAAGAAGCAAACTGCTCTGCCGTCCCAAGCATTCTTTGGGATTTGCTTTTGTCCCGATTCCTGCTCCTGTCCGCTCCCTTCCTCCTCCTTTTCCTTCTCCTTTTTTCTTGTTTCCCCTTTTCTTTTTTGGCTATTCTCAAGATTGAACCCAGGGCCATTATGAGAGAGGGTGTTGCTAAGTTGCTAAGTTGCTCAGGGTGGGCTCAAACTTGTGACCCTCCTGCCTCAGCCTTTCAGAGTGCTGGGATGATAAGCCTGTAGCACCACTGGGATTTCTTCTTAAAATCAAAGCATGTGTGGCTATATGCGTACCTAGGTAGGAGCTGTTGCATATGTCTGTATTGTAATAAAAATAGCAACCATTTCAGGACTTCACTAAGTGCCAGGAATAGACTTATGCACTTGATTGTGCTAATTAATTTACCCCCCCCTTTGAGATGTGTACTATCATAATGCCACTGCCACCTTACAGAGGGAGAATGCGAGGCACAGAGGGGTCAAGTAACATACACAAATTCACACGGTAGAACATGGTGGAGCTGGGATTAGAAACCAGGCAACCTGGCTTAAGAGGCTGGGGCTGTGACCATCATCCCGTGCTCCTCTCACTCTATGTGTGTGTAAGTGCATGGCTATTTGTGGGTATGTATGTGTGCATGTGCTTATGTGAGTGTGCACGTGTGCACTCATAGGTGTGCGGGCGGGCCTGTGTGGTACTGATGGGAGCTAGTGTATGTATACGTTTACCTGTGTGTGCTCTCTAGGCTCTTCTAGGGACACAGGGCTGAGGATGTGCAGTGCTTCAGGAAGCAGGGGTAGCTCTCCATCAGGGTGGGTCTTCCTGCAACAGGCAAGTCATCAGGCACACTCTTGGGCCAGAGAGGTCATGAGAGGGCCGAGGAATTGACCTTGCCTCTCTTGTTAGTACTTTTGATCACAGGGGAGCAAGGTCAAGGGCAGCCTATTCATCTAGCCACCCTGACAAGACTTCTCTGTCCCGAATCAACAGGTGAATGCTCCCTGGATAAAGCACTTCATTCTCACCCACGATCCCAAGAGTGGCATCTACACGTCTCCATACATCATCCCAGGGTAAAACCTGATTTCTCTAGGGCAGAAGAGAGGCCCTTTAGTGCCTCTTTAAGCTCCTGCTGCCTGCTTGCTTAGTGTCTGCTGTTATGTCCTCCCAGTGTTTTGTAACTCCCAGAGTCTGGACAATTAAATCCCTGGGAAGGTAGGACTCAGCCCTGATTGGTGTCTATCTTAAATATTCTTTTGGACGGCAGTAGTGGTGAGGTGAGGACAAATGTGATGGCAGTGACACCAGAAGTGGTGTAAGTGAGCATAATGGGAGTGAGAGTGGGAATGGTGACTGGGGTTGATGGTGACAGTAACGATCCTGGTGGAAGGGATGATGTGAGGGAGACAGTGGCAGTACTGACGGGATGACGACATTGCTGGCAGTGGAACTGCTGTAGTAGATCATATTGTTTTTGATGGGGAAGACAACTCTGATGGGTGCTGACCGGCAGAAGGATGGAAAGCGGTGATGCTGATGCAGGTGATGTGGGGGGCGGCGGTGAGGAGATCAGCGCTGTCAGTGGTCCTGACTGGGAGTGGGAATGATGGGTGGTACTGGTGGAGATGACGCTATTGATGACGGTAACAGTGTGGCAGAGATGACAACCTCAGACGCAGTGTTAATGACGTGTCTGCGATGACTGCCTCAGCGGTGAGGTTAATGGTGTGGTGGAGATGACCATATCAGCGGTGACGGTAACAGTGGAGGTGAAGGTGCACGGAGTTGATGCTGATGACATGAGTCATTAGTAGTAGTGAAGACGATGCTCCAGATGGTGGGGACAGAATGGGAGTGGGGTTGAGGGTGATGACAATGGCGGTTGAGGTGGTGACAACAGCAGCATTAGCAGAATGGTGACGTCGACAGTGGGATGACTTAGTGGAGATGGTGTGGGAAAGGTTAGCGAGGGAGAGAGTGGTGATGACCATCGTTCACCTCAAAGACTCCCTTGTCCTTGGCCCTGCTCATTTTTATCCAGGATGCAGATGGTTACTCTCGGAGGCATCTGCCAGCTGGGGAACTGGAGTGAGATAAACAGTACCCAGGACCACAACACCATTTGGAAAGGTTGCTGCAGACTAGAGCCCACGGTGAAGGTAAGGTGCAGAGGGGAACAAGGGTCCAGACTGGTGACCCAGCAGCTTGATCATGAACCCCTGGAGGATGGGAAGATACCACCACTGGGATCAGTGGGCAAATTAATTCCAGCAAGACAGCATGGAATGCACGAGAATTTGACCATGTACCAAGAAATCCTTTCTTGCTGGGCGTAGTGGCGCACGCCTGTAATCCCAGCACTTGGGAGGCTGAGGCAGGAGGATCATTGCAAGTTTGAGGTCAGCCTGGGGTACAAAGTGAGCTCAAGGCCCGCCTGAACTGTATAGTAAGACCCTGTCTCAAAAAAGAAAAAAAAAATACCACAAAGAAATCCTTTCTTAGGGTTAATGCGATCTAACTGGGGATAGCTAAGAATTGTTCCTTCTTGAGGTGCCATCTCCAAAACAGCTTACCTGTCTTTGCAAGGTGATGTAGTCGTAGCAGAAATCTCAATTTTCATCTTTTCCCACTGTGGTGATGAGCATAGTGATGGTGATGAGGCTGGGATGGAGGCAGAGGTTGGTGTGAATAGTGGTGAAAGTGTACCGAGGACGATGGTGACAAGGTGGTGACTGTCAGTAATACCATGGCAGCAGTTGATGGTGATGGCGATGGTGGTGATGATGGTGGTGGCTCATGTGGACAGAGTGGTTGACAGAATCGGCGCGAGGTGTTCGCCATGATGGTAATGAATGTGGTAGTCGGTGGACATGGTGATGATGGCAGCAGTGATTAATTAGGGTGACCCTGATGGGGTTGGTGCAGATTGTAATGAGAGTATGAAAGCTAGCCTGCTACCACCTAAAAATGGCAACAGGAAAAGAAGTCCAGGGATGAGTTGCCTGCATTTTCCTTTCCAGAATGCAAGAATTGCTGGTGAATATACTGGCTTCCGGCCGATGCGTCCCCAGCTTCGACTGGAAAGGGAACAGCTTCGTGTTGGATCTGCAAACGCTGAGGTATGTTCTCCCGGCAAGGGAAGCACTGCCCTCGCGGACTCCCAAGGTGACTCTGCCATTTCCAGGGAAATTTCCACACAGCCTAAGGGCAGGGGCTGCGGTAGCTAATGTCCTCTCTACAAACAGGGAAACTGAGGCTAGATGATGGTAAAAGATCTGGACAAGGTTATACAGAGGGCAACACCTGGTTTGCTAAAGTCTGCCATTGAGTAGAAGGAAAGTGGATACTTTTCTGACAGGCAGCAGGCTTTTGTCCCGCAGCAAATCCAAGACATGACTGACCCTATTGACTGTCCGTGCAGCTCTCTGGGGTAGGGACAGTTCTCCTCAGGCCTCACATGAGGAAACCAGAATTTTGCAAGGTGAAACTACTTGCCTGAGTCAAACCCTGGTGAGAGGCAGGCCTGGGATTGGCTTTGAACTTGGCTCCAGAGCTGTTTCCCAGAGGTCCATTTTGTGGCTACTTCACCAGCTCTGTGGGGTCTCCTCTTACGGGGTAGGGACTGGGCTTGTGGAAGCTAGGAGGGTTGTCCTGGGCTGAAGGGTCTGACCCGAGTAGGTGGTGGCTGGGTGCACCCCCAAAGAGTCATGCTTCCTCTCTTATTCAAGTATACTGTGTGTGTATGTGTGTGTGTATGTGTGTGTGTGTGTGTGTGTAAGGGTTGTACATGTATAGAAGGATTGGGATATGTGCATACAGAGGTCATGTGTGTGTATATATAGAGAGTTACACATATGGATTTAGAGGTCATGTGTGTATAGAAAGTTGTGTGTGTGTGTGTGTGGAGGTGTGTGCACGTGTGTGTACACATGAAGGTTTTTGTGTGCATATGTGGAGGGAGAGTCACACATGGAGTTTAATTTCCTACTGATGGCTTTAGTTCTGGCAAAGGCCGTGAGGTCTCGCTTGGGCTGCCGGGATGCGTTACCACACCATCCAGAGGCCACAATCCAGAGTCCCTAATTGTTCTTCCTCCTCATAGGTAGAGGTTTGTTTATCATCACAGAGGCTTCATCAGTCCTGAGTGAGATGGGAATGAGGATGGTGATTTAGGGAACTTCATATGTGGAGAAAAATCTCCGACCTCAAGGTCTAGATGTGACTCCAATTTCCCCGTGCCGAGTGTGGGAAGCAGGCCCTTCTGGAATCAGAAGGCAGGAGACCAGCTGTTGTCCTCCAGATGTGCAAATGATTTCCAGGGGCCCAGTGTCCACCCAATTGCCAAGAGCAGCTCCTGGCATCTGGCTTTGCCCGGGGTTCTTCAGAAGCTCCCGAGTGTCCCAAGCCATAAAGCTTCTTTGACCCCTTCTGCGGCCCGTCTTGGACCTGGTTACCTTTTCTCTTGCCTCTCCCAGGTCATCCACAACTACGGCCATGGAGGCTACGGGCTCACGATTCACTGGGGCTGTGCCCTGGAGGCAGCCAATCTGTTTGGGAAAATTCTGGAAGAAAGAGAGCTGTACCGGATGCCACCATCCCACCTCTGAGAACGCCAGTGACCAGCAGCTTCCCCGCAAGGATTCCCCATCCCCCAGACCGACTAATCAGTGTACTCCCCAGAAGCCTGTGCCTAACCCCCGCCCCTAATTCTGCCTCCTTCTACAAATGTTCTTGAAGGGAGAGGAAGCCACAAGGTCCGTGGCACTGATGGACATCCAGCCCCACCTGCAGCCCCCTGAGCGCTGAAGTCACCCCTCTGTCTCTGGGCCGCACACTGCAACGAACAGCTGGGACTTTGTCTTTTAAGTCCTCAGAAGAAAGGAGAACTCAGAAAATCAAAGAGGCACAGAAATGAATGATGATTGTGGTTAAGTAACTGGACTATAAGTCATACAAACATATTAAAGCTTCTGGAAAGTCCTGCAGCAAAGACTCCTATCTGACGTTGTTGTACGCAGTGCCTCCTCCATTTACCTTGCTATGGAAAACTTTTGCCCAGAACATCCATCAGTGCCAGGAAACCCACTTGGGGAAGTGCTGTAGCAGGTGTTTTATAGGATGATAAAGGCAGAACTGGGGTGTGGAAGAGGCGAGGTGAGGGGTGAAGTATTGAACTGATAACATATGATGCCTGCTCCACATCCGGGACTTCAGATGGCATCAGTTGTCTGCAGAGCACCCCTGCGGGCTCCTTAGAACCACTGAGGGGCCACTAGAGGATTATATCACAAGGAGCCCCATCCTAAACCAAGCTCACTGTGCATACTCCTTGTGGGGATTTTATGTGCTTCTTCCATTCTGGCTGGAACCCTCCAAGATGACAACCTCCCAGATATATATATATATA